GAGAGAGAGAGAGAGAGAGAGAGAGAGAGAGAGAGAGAGAGAGAGAGAGAGATGAGGGATATGGTGGAACCGTGTCTTTTCCTCCCTCCCTTCTATATAAATTTTGATTCCAACATTGGTCAATTTTGTTGCGGCACTTTTCAGATTTCCTGTGTGAATCTTCTCAGATCTCCTTGTTGGAATGCATGTATGTATATATGGTGACGAACGATCTCGCATTCTTTCTTGCAAGTCGTCTTTGCTTTTCCATTTTGTTTTGTTCAGTAGATTAGCGTGGTTTCAACTTCGTCGCGTTTTCAACATTCGGCGTTGCAGTGCATGTATCGATCTACGAGTCTGAGTTCTCTCAGGTCTGGTCGGTGCGCTCACTGCGCGGGATTAACCCAATCACTTGCGTTCGACCTGTGTAAGAGATTACGGGAATTACTGGAAATGCATGTCTGCTCTTGGAATGTTGGATGGCCCTTTCCTCTGATGCATAAAAGTATAACCAAAGAGGGGCCGTTCTGGGAAAGGGGTTGCATGCATAACCAGACCAGTGTGCCAATAGATTGCTCCGCCATTAGGACGAGCAACTTAGGACTTAACTAGTTGGTCAGTGCGTACGCTCGTGGAAGACAGCAATCTATCAACGGATTTGCCATCTACACGCACGCATGCAGGCGCTAGTTACGGTCCCGCCACGTAGGAATGATGTGTGTGAGTGAGTCCCGTTGATCCGGATATGGCGATCGAAACTCCTTTTTGGATTTTCGACCGCGAAAGCCTGAGAGATCCCGAGTACAGGACATATTGGGAAAGGGAACAGATCCGACGAACGACAGCAACGGATCAGACGGCAGCAAAACTTGCGGAACCTTGATTACCCCTGCTAAACTAAACACGAGCGACTGTGTAGGGGCGATTTCCAGTTGGCAATCAACCGGGACTCCCGAATTCCTGAGTATCCCGACCGTAGACACCAGCAATACTTTATCGCCCCAGGCTTCGTCGCTATCACGACTAATTTCCCTCCCCATTACATCGTCCTCTCGTATCACCGATTGCTAGTTACCCCCCTGGGACTCCATATCCCGATTCTGGCCCCGGCCTCCGTGCCCACAGTGCCAGCAGCCCAACGAGTACGAACAGACGGAGGCCACGCGTCAGACTCCTCCCCGGAGAGAATGACGAGAACCCTGCTCGTCCTTCTCATCAGACTCTGACTCTGAGTTCTACGTCGGGCGACAGAGGTACGAGCATTCCCACAGCGATGCCCACAACACCCCGTTCGTACACACGACTCTTTCCCGGCCCCGGCCGCAGGAACGACGCCCACCCCAACACTGAGCTAGAGGAACCACTTGCACTTCTACCCCTGAAACTTGACACAGGAGATTCCAGTCCCGACCTGGAACTCCACCCTTACTTTCCAAAAATCTTTCGCACACCCTTTTTTGCACTTCCAGGCCCACTAACACTCCGAAACAGGAAGTCGCGCTGGGCGTGAGGTTGGGCGTTACAAGGTCCCTGTAGCGGTTGCTCCCATACGGGGCCCTTCTCCACATCGGGCCTTAAAGTTCTCGCGGTGAATGTGAGCTATTACTACCAAGATCTACATTGGGGTCCGCTCCACCTGGAGCCATGCTACAGGCCGCCGCAGGCCCGTGACCTTGATTTCACAATCGGCTGTCTCTAGGTGGGCATGCCGCTAAGGCCGTAGGATGGTGAACTTGCCTAGGCAGATTGGGCCCAGGGGTGCTATGGCAAAGACTAGCACCGTTATTAATGAACGAATCGTTCGTCGGATTGGGTATAAGAGCGAAAGGCTAATCGGACCCTGTACTAGCGGGATCCCTCAGAAGTTTCCTCAAGGGAGTTGGTGCTGCTGGGCGGGACAGACCGTGCGCTACAACGGAAGGCTGGCGGGGACTTGTTACATACGCCTTCGCAGATTCAACCTCCATAACCACCGACCCACTGTCGGTATCACTCTGCGGTATCTGGGATAGCGCATTGTTCAACGCAGAGGGTAGGCGACGGGCAGCAGGGGAAAAGGTGAACGCTGGAATGAGCCCGGACGGGCTAATGCGCAGGGTGCATGTAGAGAAGGAGCTAGCTATGGCAGAAACGAGCGTAGGCAGGAGGGACCGAAAAATGCAAAAACCGCCCGATTCTTAATGAAATCGGGCGGGGAAAGAGTCGAATTCGGGGTTATGAGGTAGGGCGAGATGAATGGCGAGAGTAGTTTTGCTGAAGGATTAGTAAAAAGAAAGTCAGTAAGAAAAAGTCGTGCGCGGGACCTTCGTGAAGGTGGATATGGTCGTGTAGGAAGATGAAGATCTTGCTCGTTTCCTGATGAAAACGAGCGCGGGAGAAATCATTTCGGAGGTTTCAAAGGGTGATGAATCCAGTGGTAGTGTTGGTTTTGACGATAGGTTGGTAGATTAGAAGCTAGCAGGAAAATGGACTGCGCGGAGTTATCAGGAAGCAAATATGGCGGGATTTGAAAAACGGAGAACTTACTCGATCCCGCACGGAATCGAGCAAACTAAAAGGCAGAATGGGGGTTCTCGAAAATTGCGAGCTCGATGGTATGGTCGGATTCCTCGATGAAGGAGTGAATTTGGCGCTGCCAAGATTAAAAGTTGCGCCTCATGGAGTAGTTGTGCAACGGGAATGTATATTTTCGTATTTTAGCGGAGGGTTCATCTACACATTGCACAGAAAGTCGTGTTGTTGTCTGAAGACTGAGTACAGGATCCGAGTTCTGCTCGTCATCACGACCCCAACGAAAGCAGTCATCGTCGTGGAGATTCGGCATGTTGTACCGCTGATCCGTCTCTTTCAACCTATCACTCCCGCTCGCGCACGCCTGTCTCGGATGAACCAGGCCGTATTATCGACCATATATGTCTGTATGCTAAGAACAGGCGTACAACCAAGAGGGAGAGAGGGAAGCGAGAAAGAGGAAAGGGTGGTGGAACATAAGAGGAGTTGTGTAGTATGAACTAAGGAATCGAGTGGGAGAAGGGATTGCAGGAAGAGAATGAACCCAACCCAGTCGTTTTGGAAGGTTCATTCTGATTTTGACTATCAGATCAATAGGAACGACCTCCGTCTATTTGTCTAAGAAAAAACGGTTGAGAAGTAGCGTATATTCACACGATTTTGTGAAAGATTCATTTTGGTCTGCTCATCTCT